GGTATGTAGTATGTGTGGTGTGTAGTGTGTGTGGTGTGTGGTGTGTGTGTGGTGTGTGTGTGTGTGGTGTGTAGTATGTGTATGGTGTGTGTGTGTAGGGTGTGTGGTATGTAGTATGTGTGGTGTGTTGTGTGTGTGCGGTGTGTAATATGTGTGTGGTGTGTAATATGTGTATGGTGTGTGTGTGTAGGGTGTGTGGTATGTAGTATGTGTGGTGTGTGGTGTGTGTGGTGTGTAGTGTGTGTGGTATGTAGTGTGATGTGTGTGGTGTGTGTAGTGTGTGTGCTTTGCCAGAGAAGCCCTTGGCCTGTAGCAGTAAGAACCTGACCTTGACTTGGGGTGGACAGGGCAGAGTTAAGACCAGAGATGGCTGGAGGGTCAGAGTGTCATGGACCCCCCAATTCCTCGAGGGTTCTTTCTCGAAAGGGGCCCAGGCCCAGCCCAACCCAGCAGGGCCTGGGGCAGGGCCTCTGCTATGAAGACAGACCTGGGCAGAGGGCCGGGGATGTGGGAGCAGAGAGGGGCTGGGCGGTGGTCCCAGGAAGTGGGAGGGGGACCCCGGCTGGAAGGTCGATGGCCAGGGTCAGTACTGACTGGACGATGCTCAGGACACTGCAGCAGGCCCACTGGCCACGCCAAGCGCTGTCGGGGTTGGGAGGCGCTGGCGTGCTAAGTGGCGCACAAGACAGATCACTCGGAGGGTGGTGGGGGAGGAGGGAGGAGCCAGCCCCAGCTGCACATCTGGGGGACTGTGAGGGGGAGGGAGCATTGGAGCTGGGCCAGGAGGCGGCCGGGATGAAGCGGCGTCCCCCCCGGGCTGAGCACACCCCGCCTGACCCACAGCTCCCCTTGTAGGCCCAGACTCTGGGGGCTCCAGACCCAGGAGCAGCCTGAAGCCCAGCCCCACCGAGCACAGACAGGGGTGCCCGGCCCGCGCCCTGACTGGCCCTCCCTGGCGGGCCGTGGGCTATGCAGATGGGAGGCCCTGCCACTCAGCAGCTTCTTCGCCCGGCCCAAGGCCTTGGAGCATCTTGGCTCCTCATCGGTGCCCATCCACGGCCTGGCAGGCTGCCGGCTCAGCAGCTCAGAGCAGAACACTGTCCGGGATGCCAGCTGCCTTGGGTGTGGCCACCCTGTCTGCAGGCGCGGGCGGGTGACTCATCAGATCACCACCAGGCTGTGCGGGCTTGGGGCTGGGCAGGTGACAGACAGAGGGAGAGCACAGAGGCCTGCTCAGCACCCTGGGCACACCCCCGGCTCCTGCCAGCCCTCAGCTCCCACGGCCTTTCCCTGCGGTCTCTCAGCGCCAGGCAGCGGAGCGACGCCTCCAGGAAGCCCTCTCGGACTCCTCCCCGGCCTGGCTTCCCTTCCAGCCTCAAGCTTGTCCCCGGCTCCCCAGCCTCATTCTCCCCACAGGCAGAGGGGACCATGCCCCCATGGTGGGGAGGGAGGGCCAGTCCCCCACGCCCTCCCAAGGCCATGTCACTGTGCCTCTTGGCACTCGGGGCTTCTTCTGACGCATCAAGGGCTCGACCAGGGGTCTGTGAGGCGCCTCCACCTCTGAGGGCCTGAAGTGTCCCAGGGCAGTCCTGACAGACCACACTGCTGGGCTGGGACCAGGGGTGCGGCAGCCTGGGGAACGGGCCCGGGTACTAGTGTGGAATGTACCCAGAAGACAGCTGGGGGTGCCCTGGAGCAAGGGCATCTGTTGACTTGTCAGCTCCTGCGGTGGACCGAGCACCATATAAGCGAGACGTTACGTGCATGTTGTCAATCCTCACCCGAGAATATTTTCCCACTGAATTTTAGATAGAGTAGAAGGGAGGGAGAAAGAGAGAGAAACATTGATTGGTTGCCTCCTAGGCGACCCTGACCAGGGCCAGGGATGGAACCTGCAACCCAGGTACATGCTCTTGACCGGGAATCAAACCCAAGACCCTTCGGTCTGGAGGCCGATGCTCTAACTGCTAAGCCAAACCAGCCAGGGCTGTGTATTTTTAAATATATATTTACGGTCACAAGAACCCTCCGAGGTGCTGCTAACCTAACGTTGCAATGGGGAAACAGAGGCGCAGAGAGGTCAAGTGGCTTGTTGGAGGTCACACAGCCTGCAGTGGGCAAGCTGGGCACGCACCTGCCCGGGAAGGCCCTGGACCCTGGGCCCAAGCACCTTTCGGTCCCGCAGAGAGCTAGAGGCCCCGGCCGGGGGGAGGGGAGAGGTGGAGAGGCAGTTCCCAGGAATGCCAGCCTCGGGAAGGCAGAACTGGAATTTTGGGTTGGCAGAGGGGCGGGGCGAACAGCCAACCTAGTGCTGACGGCAGCCAGTTGGGACCGGGCTGGGTCGCTGCCCTGTTATTCATCACTGTCCTCGGCCCGGCCCCACCCAGCCGGCCCAGAGAGACCAGAAGGACAGCTCCCAGAGAGTTCTGGGCGTGGAGCCTTGGAGCACGCCCCGCCGCGCCCCCCGCTGGCCGGCCCAGCCCCCCGTGGACTCATCCAGGTCCTGCTGTCTGGGCCCATCCCGACCTCTCTGCTCCCTCTCTGCCCACTACAGTTCTCATCACCTCTGCTTCCAGAGGAAAACAGGACACAGGGGTCCGAGGCTGCCTGCCAAGGGCTTGGGGGTGGCCTCTCTACGCCCCCCGCCTGCCCCCGTCCGTGTCTGGGAACCGTTCCGTGTGCCCACTGGATCCTCCAGACACTGAGGCCCCCACACCTGGGGACATGAGGTCATGGCAGGTGTCAGGCTGAGTCTGGTCCGTCCCTGCCCTGGTACCTGTAGGGCACCAGGGTCAGGACCCTGGAGGAGGTCACCCCACATCTTCGGGAAGGTGACTTCCCTGACTGATTCCACCCGAGATGACCGGGACAGGGCAGGGTGGACGCATTCTGACCTCCGGATGTGAATTCCCTTTGGGAGGTGGGACAGGCCGGCTTCCTGTGCTCTCGGGGAGGCCCAGATGGGCTGGGGGCTGCGTGCATTCCTGAGGGTGTCCCTGCCAGCAGGAGACAGGACACAGCCATCAGAGAAACTGTCCTCTAGAGAAGCAAAGGTCTGACCAGGATGCATGGAGCCCAAACTGTCCAAGGTCACAGTGGATGTGACCTTGTTCTGCAGTAAGAGGGGGCTCAGCTCAATATATAAACCTGTGCCAGGCACTGTGTGCCCCGTGATGAAGACCTTTCTGCTCAGGCTGCTCAAGGTCACACAGGGGATGCGGGACAGGCGGGCACCAGCAGAGGTGGTTTGGGAACTCCTCAGCCAGGAGAAAAAGAATGGGCACGTTGACCAGAGGCAGGAAGAAAGGGGGTGCAGTGGCTGGTTTAAGACCCCTCGGTGGCCTCCATTCCTCTTAGAATAAAAGTCCAACCGTAGACAGAAGTCCCGAAGGCCCGGCACAGTCCCGGGCTGTCCAACGTGCTGGCCACTGGACACATGCGGCGCTTGAGAATTTGAAATGTGGCTGGTACATCTGAGGAACGGAACTTTTCATTTCATTTCATTGTGGGTGATTTAAATAGGCACAGGGACAGAGAGCATTTCCATCATCACAGGACAGGTGGCCTGCCCCCGCCCCGGGCCCACCTTGTGCCTACACCCCCACACAGAGGCCACGCTGAGCAGCAGTTCCAAAAACAGGACAGGCCCGTGTCCTTGACCCACTGTCCCTCTGCCGGGAGCGCTTACCCCTGCCCTTCCTGGGATGGTGGCTTCCCCTTACCCTTCAGGTCCTGGTGGTGTGCCCCTCGGCGACCCCCTCTTTATTGGCCATCAGCTTCTTGGTGGCCTCCCTCACAGCACCGAATAAATGAACCTTGCTGCTCCCGGATGCCCACAACAGCCGTCAGAACTACAGTGTGAGGCTGGAGCACGTTCGGTGAGCCGTCAAGTCTCAGACTTGGCGCTGGGGACAGAGGCAGGGACTGATCTAGCATCTGCAAGCAGCTCGTGAGAGCAGGAGCTGGAAGCCGGGAGGCCTGACGGTCACGCCTTGGACGGAAGCCGGTGCTGCCCCTCGGACATCGCAGGGAGGTAGCCTGGCACCGTGACTGGGTGCCCGCGCCCGGGTCCTGGCTGCCTGTGCCTGGCCCCGTCTCCGCCACTGACTGGCTTTCTTTGTCACTCGAAGTAATCAATGTCCATGTCCAGGGAGAGGAGAACCATCTAGAGAAACTGAACTTCACGCCTGGACACAATTTTAGGGATCACCAGTGTCGACGTCCGGGGACCCGGTGTGGTCTCTCACGGTGGTGCGGACAGATCCAATCACCTCCTCCAGGGCCCTTCTCCATCCGAAAGGTAGCGAAACGATCCTTCTTTAAAGACACGATTAACATTTATGTGGCCAGCATATTAGGGTTTAGTTGGGCCAAATGTGTGATATACGTGCGGCTCCTTTTTACACGCGGCCGTGTGCAGTTCCGAGTACGCTGGGGCCTGACATAACCCGCATGCGAGACATTTTAATGCCCATTTTATAGGACTTTTATAAGGGAGGCGGGGGAGTGTAGAGGAAGACAGTGGCCTGGGAGTCACCAGGCCTGATGGGAACGGAGGCTTTGACACGTGTTCACTGGTGACTGCAGACCAGCCACCCCCTCTCCCCATCAGAACGACGCGGAGCCCCGGTGGGGTGGTGTCCAAGGGTCCAGCAGCCCGGGAGGTCTGGGGCTAGAGGCAGAATTTTAACATTGCAAATGATGATCGAGGCTCCCAGGTGTTGAACTTCTGTCCGGATGACATACGGCTGGTCACAGCTCTGGTTTATTAGTCGCTCAGGTCTTAGGCACACAGCCCTCAATTAGAAAACTATTTCTATTGGACACTATAATGTGCTTTACAATATTCTGCTTAGCACATGGCCACCAGGAATGCCTTCCAGGGAAAAGCTGAGCACGTGACCCTCGAGTGGCCCCTGAGACGCTCCCTGGGGCTCGCCGTCCTTCCTAAAGGAGAACTTCCCGACCAGCATGGACCCTCACGGTCCCTTCCCCTGCAGGTGACAGTGCGCGTTGTGAGGGCAACGACAGCCTGAGCCAACCGGCGAGCCCCGAGAACGCAGGCGTGGCCGACGGCACTGTCCACAGCTCCATCCCGGTGTCCACCCGAGGTCCCTGAGTCATCCAGCAGTCCCCGAGATGTGCTCAGGGTCCTGCGCTCCAGGAGCCGACGCAGGGCGTGATGCCGTTGACGAAGATTTCCATCAAAGCTGTTAAAACATAATCAGGTCCTGTCACTCACCCGTCACCTGACGCGGCCACCCCTGGGCCTGAGGACGACGCTACGTGAAGGAAGCATCACCACGCGGTGTCCCCGGGGTGAGCGTGGGAGAATGCACACTGAGTCCCAGATTCGAAGTCCACCCTGGGGACGGTTTATGGGCGAGGCCAACTTGGCGTGTTTCAGTGGGGATCTGGGTAGGGTTCACGCTAGACCTAATTCCCCTTAGATTAGCTGTTGTCCGACCCAAAGTATTTTCTACGGAGCCTCTAACAGGTGCCAGGGCATCATTTCAGGGGCTCGGTCTGGAGTTTGAGGAGGACCCACGACTCACGCTTCCTGGTCTCCTCCCCCAGGCCCCTCTGCAGGCTGGAGGTTGCCTTCCAGGACCCCGTAAGAGGGAGGACCCCCTTTGGACAGGGCTATGGTTCTTCCACTAGCCTGAGAGTCCCCAGGTACAGGGCTCCACCTTGACCTCAGGACAGAGGGGGCTGGGCTTCGGCTGTCCTGGGCCCTTCCTAGAGAGACGTCTTTGGGTTCTCGCGCTGAGAGCATAGTTTCTCCCTGAGCAGGAGGAACAGGACAGAGGGGCGTCTCCCGCGCCTCACCTGCGCGTGGGGGAGGGGAGGAGAGAAAGGAAGAGACTGGCAGCCCACACTCAGGAGCGGCCCTGCCCCCCGCACCCGCTCCCACAGCCGCACAGCGGGTGCAGTGGGTGGTGCAGGCAGAGGCGGTATATCCAGTCTGACGGAGGGCGGGCCTGGCCAGTCCCTGGAGAGAGACGGACGCGGGTGGAGGCACCAGGAGCAGCCCGGAGCCTCGCGCGACACGACACTCACTCTATGGCCACAGGGAGCCGCTGAGCGAGAACAGCCCTCAGCCGCCCGCCGCACCTCGCCTCCCGCTCCCCACGCTCCGCCACCATGAACCACTCGCCGCTCAAGACCGCCCTGGCCTACGAGTGCTTCCCAAACCAGGACAACTCCACGCTGGCCCTGCCCTCCGACCAGAAGATGAAGACGGGCACGTCGGGCAAGCAGCGCGTGCAGGAGCAGGTGATGATGACGGTCAAGCGGCAGAAGTCCAAGTCCTCCCAGTCGTCCACCCTGACCCACTCCAACCGAGGTAAAGGCGCATGCGCGCGCGCTGCGGGTCCTGCGCTCCCGCCGAGGCCGCGGGCGCACACCTCCGGGCGCACACCTCCGGGCGCAGGGGTCCAGGCCGTGCCGCCGAGGCCCCACCTGCGCGGGTGTGAACCCAGAGCCCTGGGCCTGTCCCGATGGGGTGGGCCCGCGGCCCCCACTGGCTGGCAGACTCCTGGGGTCCGGGCACCCGTGAGTGCCAAGGCGGCTCCCGGGACGCAGCCAGGAGCTCCCTCCACACGCTGTTGGCCATTCTCCCTCCCGGCCTGCTCCCCGACAATTTTCTTTCCCCAAACTGCTCCTTTCCTGCCTCGGCTCCCCTGGGGGCCTCACCCCCTTGTTCTTCCTGCACATCGCATGCCTGCGCCTTGGCCAGGCAGCCAGGGCCCAGGCAGGCGGGACTCTGGTCCAGGCTGGGCAGTTTGTGGCTGCCAGGTAGTGAAGGTGGCACCAGACCTGAGTGGGGGACAGGAGAGGTGCTGTGGGGTGGGGACAAGCCCTTGTTCCACCCCCCGCACTTCAGTGGGTGCCTCGCTCCTGGAAGAGGCTACCCCCAGCGGGTGTGCTCCCTGGGGACTGGAAGGGGTCTGAGGACACCCCCTTTCCCACCGAGTCTCCCTACTGCACTTGGCTGGGCTGGACATGATGTGAAAGTAGGGACTGAGGTTGGCAAGTTGGGGATCCCCAGAGGCTCCTGGCTGAGCCCTCATGGGGCACTGGTCCAATCTGGGTGCTCACCTGGCCAGGCAGCCCTCCCCCACACAGAGTGCTGGACTGAGTGGGGAGATAGGGACCCCTGAAACTCCAGGGAGAGATCACTCCCCGCCTCTGGCTATGTCCTCTTGCTCGCTGTCCTGTTCCTGAGTGGCCCCCGCCTGGAGCCAAGGGAGAGAGATGACTGGCGGAGGGCCTCCCAGCACCCCGGACCCAAAGGCTTTCAGCTCTGTGTTCCCTGAGCCCTGGGCTGGGTGCCTGGCTCCTCTCCTGCCGACCCCCCCACGGTCACGCAGACGCCAGAGCCTTCTCCTCCTCCTCTACTTGGTTCCTCGGTGGCTGCCTACTAGCCTTTTCTAGAAGTGGGTTGGGGTAACCAAGGGCCCCGTTTCTGGCCTAAGCCCAGGCACAGCTGAAGCCAACCTACTCTGCTCTCCGTGGGAGACTCACCTGGCCCCTTCCCACTGCATCTCGGGCCTGAGCTCGGGCTCCAGAAACACCTCCCGCCAGCCCCGGTGCCCCAGACCCTTCTTCCCCTTCTCAGGACAGCAGCATCGCGAGGTCCCCCAGGGGCCTCCAGGTGCAGGGCGACCCTGGTGGCTCATTCCTACATCTCCAGACACGGGGTTCTCCACACCCTGACCCCGCAGGTGTGTCCCAGCACCTCGGGCTGCAGGGAGGTTCCCACAGGGGCCGGCGGCATCAGGGCCCGGAGAGGTGGTGAGGTCACTGGGAGCTGGCGCTTCTGGTTTATCCGGCTTTGCTTCCCCGGCTCCCCGTCCTCCTCAGGACGCCCAAGCCTCATCATGGCCACTGGCTCCCTCCCTCCTTCACAGCCTCGTTTACACACCGTGCACCCGGGACTCGGTGGACGTGGGGGCCGAGCCTGGGATATTTCCCTCGCGCTGGGCAGGCTCGAATTCTGCTCCTGTTTCATCCATGAGGGACGAGCAGGGTCTTGATCCCCCTGGGCCCCTGAGTCCTATCCAGGGTTCTTCTAGTGGAGAACTTCACACCCCACTCCTCGTACCACATTCAGGATAGTCAGGAGAACTCAGGGGTTCTCTTCCGTGAAGGGGAGCTGAGCGACCAGGACTGAAGAAAGCTTCTTGGAAGGGGCCTCGGCCCAGTTCCTGCCAGGTCCTCCCTGGAGACAGATCCCTCACCCTGGTCAGGCAGCCCCAGTGCAGAGCGAGGGTCTCTGGGGCCCAAGGACCCCACCGAAGGAGGCTGCTCTGAGCCTGCCTGCCGTGTGGCTCTTGCCCTGAACTGCTCCTGTTTCCAGAGGACCCCGTGTGCACAGGCCCCTCTGACTGTGTGGGGAGCAGGGATATGGCTGCCCAGACGGGTCTCCTCCACCGCACCTACCTCCCCAGGCGGAGTGTCCTTGCAGGGGCTGGTGACAAGTGGGGAGTAAGAGACACTTCTCCACACCGGGTTCTTTGTGGCTTCACCCAACACTCTTCTTAAAGCTTCACCCAGATCTCGTTTGACCCAAGCCCAGCCGCCGCCGCCGCACAGTGGTACTCACCCCCCAAAGCTGGACAGAACCCACTTCTTCCCTTTCCCTCTCCCTCCAGTGGGGGGTCTCACTGTGGCCTCGCAGTTCCCGGTTTGTCTCCTGCTGCTTAGACAGCTGTGATGTTTGTCGTCGGCCTCGGGCCTCCCTTCTTCCTTCTCAGAATCTGCATTTCCATCTCGAATGACCACACGTGTTTCTCCCTGGTCAGATAGGGGTGACAGGGGCTGGGCGGTGCCTGTGCGGGTGAGGGACTCCCCGGCCTCCTCAGCACGTCGGCATCCGGGGCTCCGCACGGACCCCTGCCTGCGGGAGGGTCCGTTCACCTCTCTGTGTTGGAAGGTGTCCTTCCCGGACCACAGACCATGAACAGACATCACCTCTGGGTGGTGTTTTCGGGGCCAAGGCTGAGATGGGGGATGGTAAAGGGGTTTGTGTGTGAGCTTGTTCCAGCAGCGAACCACTCATTAAACTTCAAATGAAACAATTTTTCTTGCTTTACAATGTATCTTGGCTTGAAGTTGAGGTTTGAACCAGAATTTCCGTTGGCCTGTCACAACACATGCAAAAATGCTGGGTATTCCTGGGTGTTTCGTGGCAAAGGCTGTTTCCTGGACCCTGCTTCTTGGCTCAGCTCACGGGCAGAGGTGTTTTCTTCTTCCTCTATTGATTTGAGAGAGAGAGGAAGGGAGAGGGAGAGAGAGATGGAAACATGGATGAGAGAGAACGTCGATTGGCTGCCTCCTGCACGCCCCCCACTGGGGATCCGGCCCACAACCTGGCCATGTGCCCTGACCAGGAATCGAACCAGTGATTCCCAGTCTTGGTGCAGGTTCGACGCTCAACCACTGAGCCACACCAGCTGGGCCTGACAGAGATTTTTTAAAAAACACACACACACTCAGAATTCTCTCCATGTGCACCAGGCTGTAAATATTCATAAGCCCATTGTTCTAGGTTTAAAAATCTGGGAACTACTTCTGTGCTGGTGTAGGACACCCAACAGGTGTGCGATGTTTGAACAAGACAAAATGGAAGGATATTAGAGGTCCTTGTGGGATGTTCTTTGTAGGCACATCGCGTGTACGCACACACATACATGCGTGCCCACACTGTGCACATGCACACACAAACACGCACACACACGCATGCCTACACTGTGCGCACACATGCATTTCCACATTGTGCACATGCACACACACGCAGACACATGCACGCACGCACATGCCCACACTGTACACATGCACACACTGTACACATGCACGCACGCACATGCCCACACTGTACACATGCATTTCCACATTGTGCACATGCACACACACGCAGACACATACACGCATGCACATGCCCACACTGTACACATGCACACACATGCATGTCCACACTGTGCACATGCACGCACACACATGTACGCCCACACTGTACACATGCACACGCAGGCACACACACGTATACCCACACTGTGCGCGTGCACACACACACACATGCACACACACACACACGCATCTCACCTTGTGGCTTGCACTGCAGGGAGTCTACCTGCTGTCAGGAGACTTGAGTCCTGTTTGGCTCTGTTGCTGACTGGTGAGTGATCTGGCGAGTCACCGCCTCCTTCTGGGCGCCTGCACCTGTGGTAGGCGGGGCTGGATCGCCTCCGAAGGGCTTGGTGGTGGTAGGGCTCTTTGGAAACAGACGGCACTATTCCCTCCCCCTGTACCCAGCCCCCAGACTGCCCACAGCTGTTCTGCAGACAGCTCCCCTCCAGGCCTATTGCTCACAGTTTCTCTCGAGTAAACGTCCGAATACACCCAAAACATTGTCTAATCCGCTGTTCCCCAACGTGGCTACACGTGGGAATCAACTTTGGAACAATACAGATGCCTGGGTTTACCCAGAGATCCTGACGTACTTAGCGTGGGAGGCAGCGTGGGAGTCAGGCGGTGGCGAGAACGGTCCCGGCCTGGGCACCCCACCCTGCAGCCTGGTGGCTGCCGGGTCCGCCACCACCTCCTGGGCAGCCTGCTCCCCCAGCCCCTCTGTGCTTCCTCCGGGCACGAGGACCCCAGGGAGCCAGGGACAAAGGGCAGCGCCATCTCTCTGGACACCTCCATTGGTCCCAGGTGGTTCTGACAGGCATTCAAGTCCAAGAATCACGATTCCAGTGCCCTCCCTCCCTCACATGCAGACCCCACATGGGGACCCCCATGTCACGCATGCATCTCGCCTGCACGCACACACAAGCACGTGCACACACACGTGCACACATGCACATGCACACACGCACATGCACACACGCGTGCGCACACACACTCGGCATGTACAGGAGCCGCTCTCCGAGGGGCTCTCGCGCCCGTGGGCCGTGGGCAGAGCGCTGACTTGATTCCACCGGGGTTCACGGTGCCCAGAGCTGGGTGAGGTCAGCTCCAGAAGACGCTGTTTTCTGTGCGAGCTTTTAACTGCGGGCAGAGGTTTGGCTGAGCAGAAGAGAAAAATGTTTCAGGTGGGGCGGGTGCGACGTGTGTGAAAACCGGGGGGGGAGGGGGGGGTTGGGATGAGTCACCTCTGCAGAGGTTTGCCTGTCCCCACTGGAGACAGATCTCCGCGTGTCCTGACAAAGGAGCCGCCTGCTTGTTCCAGGTTTCTGTCGGCTCCAGATGGCACACAGGCCAACTGTGCGGAGTGGGCGGGGCCATTCCGCGCAGGTCTGGAGGGGGCGTGACCAGCCCGCACAGGACAGCGTGGGCAGAACCTGGTGCCACTAGGAAAGCAGAGACATTTGCTGTTGGACCTGGGTGCTCTGGGGGGCAGAGGCCCCCTGGGGATGGTGCACAGGTCCCCTGAGAAGCACCATCCTTGGCCAGTGGCGGGTTCGCCCTTCTGGGGAGACCGTGGGAGGCAGATGGCCACCTGGGAGGGTGGGGGTGATCCTGGGAGATGAGTGGGGGCTGGGGTCGCCTCCCCTGACCACTCCTAGACCAGGACTCCCCCTCAAGGAGGTGGCCATGGCTCAGCTGCTCTCCCTGTTGACCTGACCCGCCAGGAGGGGGGCCTGGCTGCGTGGAGGTCAAGGACCTGGCCCCTGCTGCAGGTGTGAGGACTTGGAGCCTCAAGGCACGGCAGCTCCTTCACCATGAGGGGTGGGCAGGGGACACCACCCGGGCCCTGTGCTGAGAAGACAGTCGGCCGGTGATGGGGCCGGGAATGTAATCAGGAAAGACTTCCTGGAAGGGAGCTGCAGAGACGTTGGGGACCAGGTGGAGAGGTGAAGTCTGTCGCACCTGGCCCCTCACTCTCGTGGAGAAGCCCCTGTCCAGGCTGCTGGGCTTGACTTTCAGAGGATAGTGCTCCCCAGCCAGACCCCCAGTCTCGGAGAGGAAGTCGCTTCTTCCAAACTGCTCGCCTCCCACCTGCGCCTTTGGCTGTGAGGCTCACTGCCAGGGTGGGCGCAGGTGTGAGTCTCCCGACCCCCCTCCCTCACGGCCTGGGGTGCACAGCTGCCTTCTGCCGGAGACCCGCGCTGGCTGGCATGATGGCAGCCGCCTCCTCACGAGGAAGCCAAGCTAAGCTTAGGGCGGGAGTCAGGCGGTCTGCCCCCCAAGTTCACATGGAACTCGGGGGTACCTGCAGGAGCTCCCAGGAGGGGCCTGGAAACCTTGGCCCAACTGGAAGTGAGAGTTTCACGCCCACATCCGCCACCATCCAAGTCACCCTGGGACATGGGGCTGGCATTCCAGGGGTGGCCTGTTCCCCCAACCCCGACTCCCCGCCAGCCACACAGAGGAACGTGGGAGAGGGAGGCGGGCAGGTGCAGGCTATGAGGGGAGGAGGTGCCCCCCAGATGACCGAGGGGGTGAGTGACTTCACTGTTGACATTCCACCGGGGGAAGGGCGGAGCCCCGTGGGAGCCTGCCTCTCCCTGCAGGAGGCCTCCTTGGGGTTCCTGAGGACTGTCTGTCACCACCCCAGATTTTCCATCCGCAAGCTGGCTGACCCTCGCCTGCCCTGTGCTGAGAACACCCTTCTCGTAGGCAAGAGCTAAATGAACTCGGGCCTGCCAAGCTCACAAGATGCCAGGGGTGCCCTGGATGGAGGGGAGCGGATGGGCCGTGTGCCCGGCCGCAGCCCCCTCCCGGCGCGCTGGAGCCCGGAATGTGCCTCCCATGCCCTCCCGACGCAGGACGCCTTTCCCGAGGGCAGCTTCTCGGACAGGCGGGCGATGAGCTGCCCACGCGCAGGACGGGGCTTGGAGCGAGACAGGGCTCCGAGGTTGGGAGGGAGGGACAGGCCGGGCCTGGAGGAGCCTGAGGCGGGTGGCCAAGGGGGCCATGGCACCTCCTCCTTGTAGTGAGCCCCAAGTCTGGAGAGCAGAAGCCGGGTGTCCTGAAAGCCACCAAGGCCCCTGTCACTGATCTCAGCCAGGGGACCCCGGAGCGGTGTGTGACCTTCGTGGTGCACAGAGGCCCGCCCTTCTCATCACGGAGGCCCAGAGTGGGCACCTGACCTGCCCAGATGCCAGAGCACAACCAGTTGGGACACCTCCAGGCTCCCAGGGCCACTGATGGCGCAAATGGCCCGCGACCCTCTGGGATTGGGGCCTGGGGACCGGGGTAGTGCCCTGCTCTCTGAGCTTTGGGGGTACCCTGCGGCATTGCACAGAGGAGGTGACCCCAGGCAGGACACCTGCCACCTTCTAAGGCTCCTCCTAATCTCAGCTCACAGTGGGGCTCCCACCCTCTCCACCCCACCCCAAAGGCTGGGGCGTCTGAGTGGGCGTGGCGGGTCTGGGAGGGGCTCACTTACCGGGTGAGACCACCAGCAAACCCTTCCCGGGTGCGGTCGGGCTGTCACTTGAGGAAGAAAAGGTGCTCCCCCCCCAAACAAGGCTCTCGGGGGGCCCACAGAGACCATCGTTGAGCAAGACTGTGGGGCGAGCCTTGTTCCGGACCCCCTGGGCAGACGTCCCTCGGCCAGCAGGCAGGACGGGACTGGGGTACAGGCAGCGGGACTGTCTGAGCTTGGAGGCGGCAGAGGTGGTCTTGGGCAGGGCTGGTCACGAAGGGCGTCCTGGGGCGGGGAGGTCCCAGGCTGTGAGATGTGGGTGAGAGTGACGGCGAGGCCCAGGGGGATGGCGGACTCGGTGCTTCAAGGACAGTAGGGACGGTCCTTCAGCCCCCCATCTGCTGAAGGGGAGAGGGGAGGGGTGACCCCACTGGGAGCCCAAATCCAGTTCCGCTTTCTGTGACGCTAATGACCCTGATGATACTCCGCCCTCCAGTGGAGCCTGCCATCGGGGCTCCAAGCTCCAAGCACCAGAAAACATTAATTAGTCCTCATGGGCCTTTGAGGTGGATGGCGCCCCGCCCCACCCCCACCGCGAGCCCTGAGAGATGCAGGAAGGGGCACTAGGCTGCGGCTGGAACCAGCGTCCTTCCCCGAAGTGGACTCGGACCAGCCGTTGCTGCTCTGTGTCCCTGACCTGGAAGCTGGCATGCCCCTCTCCCGCCTGCCTTCCCCACGTGGGAAGCTTACCGTGGGGTGCGGGGCTGTGATTCCCTGGAACGGAATGGCGGTGCTCCATGGCCGTCCAGGCCAGCGCCTGACCTGTAGGTGCCAACCACGCCACGCTCGGGGAGACACTGGGTCCCCGGGAAGGAGTCTCCCAAACTCTCAAGCTGTCCCCTTGGCCCTGGCAGCGGAGGGGGTGGAGGAGGGGAGTCGGACTCTCCTCCGCCAGCTCAGACGCGGTCTCCGGGGTGGGGCGTCGTGGACGGTGGCCGGAGAGCACAGAACCCCCGTCCTAACCCCCTGCTTTGCCCTCAGGTTCCATGTACGACGGCCTGGCTGATAATTACAACTACGGGACCAATCGGAGCAGCTACTACTCCAAGTTCCAGACGGGCAACGGCTCGTGGGCCTACCCGGTAAGGAGCTGCGGCCGCTCGGACAGCCGGGACGCTGGGGGTGGCTTGGGGGCTGCGGTGCAGAAAATCCCACTGTTGCTAAGAGTGATGTGCGGAGGGGCTCCAGGAGACGAGACCCCCGCCCTGACCAGGTCTGCTGGCGTAGCCGGTACTTCCCAGGTGCTTCTTAGCTCCCCTCCTGTTCAGGCTGATCGGATGCTTCTGAAGGTCTCAGATGAGAACAGTTCTTTAAACGCATCAAGAAAAGATCATTTTTAACAGTGTGTTTTTATTGATTGTTTTAGAGCCAGAGGAAGGGAGAGAGACGGAAACATCGATGAGAGAGAACATCGATCGGCCGCCTCCTGCACGCCCCCCAGTGGGGATCGGGCCCACAACCCGGGCATGTGCCCTGAGTGGGAATCGAACCGAGACCTCTCAGTCCATGGGACGATGCTCAGTCCACTGAGCCACACCGGTCAGGGGGAAAGATCATTTTTTTGAAGTCCACTTTGCAGTGTCTGATTTGATCACATCGCGGATATGAGTTCTTGAGGTCCATTTGTGGGTTAAAGTAGATGTTCCTCGGAAGACTCTGAGGGACCTGTCTTCAGTGCCGATGACTAAGGAGGAGCTTTAGAAGGTCCCCTGGGGCAGGAGAGCAAGTCCGCTGCCTCTGACCAGGAGGGTGAAGGCCGGAGGGAGCGTGGTGGAGGCCGTAGGTCAGACACACCTGACTTCGCAGTCTGGCCCAGCTGAGCGTGGGGCACCGGGCAGCAAGGACCCTCCTCCCTCTGGGCCTCAGTTCCTTCCCGTGCAAAACGGACATGACAAGTCTGCCTCCCGGGGTTGTTTTCAGGACTAAATGAAATAACACATCGAAACAATTATTTTGGTCCGTCTTAAAGTTTCCCGTCACATGAACATGGGTACAGGGAGTTCTAGGTCCTTCATCCGGGCCCATCGCTGTCTCCCAGCCCCCCAAGTCTAGGGCCTTCATTGGTTTTGCCGATTCCAACATGGGCTTGTGCTGTTGTTGGGAACTCTTTGGGGGGCCCTCGAAGCATCGTGCAGGGGATAGAGGCTGCTTTCCCGTGGGTGCTGGGGCGCCATCCTCACGGGGCTCCCGGGCCCGGCAGCATTTCTCACAGATGTCACCCTGGTGGCCAGGGCGCTGGGCATGGGAGACGGTGAGCTTTTGGGGTGTGCATGAGGGCTTCCTTCCCAGGTTCTTGGGGCTGACGTCAGAGGACTCATGTTGGTTTTTTTGGGGGGGAGGTGTTGGTGGTGTTGGTTAGGAATTAAAGGGAAATGAACCAGGTTTGCTGAAAATGTACTTTCCTCTGTTTTTCTGATTCTTAATGTCAACGGGTACCTTGGTGCAACACGGGTACGGGGACAGACCAGTGAGCTGGTAGGCCAGGCAGCTGTGGGCAAGGGCTTTGACCAAGTGGGGACCGGGCAGACTGAGCTCGTGCAGGTGAGGGAGGGTGGAACCAGGCCGGGCGGCCGCTGGGACCAGCTGTCGGGGTGAACAGACCACCCAGGAAGGCTCGATCCTGCTCTGCGACCCTCGGTCACCGTCTGAGCGCCCCTGGGTCAGGGTCGGGAAACCTGTGCCTCTCCACAGGCCGACGCCATGCAGCACAGACTCTGTCACCAAGCGTGGTCACTGGCCAGTGGCCCATGCTGAGCATCGGCTCAGACTCGGCAGCTCCTGGGCTCCTGCCTGCTCTGTGACCGCCGGGGAAAGTCCCTTCCCTTATCCCGCCCCGCCCCAGGCCCCCCTCCTCGCCCCCTTCACTGGGACCTCAGACATGACTCACCTCAGGCAGCTGCTGGGACACGTCCTGTCTCCTCTTAGTTCAGGAGAGGCTCTGGGAACAGGGGGAGCTGAGCACAGGCTGGGCTTGGGTGGGGAGGGATGGGGTAACAGGCCTGCTGTCAGAGGAGGGGTACGGGCAGCCAGGGGGCCAGCACCCAGGGGGAAGGAGACAGGCCCCTGCCTGTGGGATTTCCGCAGGCAGAGTGATGCCCGCCCCACTCTGCTGAAACCGTGTGGTGCAGAAGGCCGGCCGAGGGGCACAGGGTGCAGAGCACAGGGCTCAGGGCGCAGGGTGCAGTGGTCTGCACAGGGCGCAGGGCACAGGGCGCAGGGCACAGGGCGCAGAAGGCTGGCCAAGGGGCACAGGGCGCAGAAGGCTGGCCAAGGGGCGCAGGGCACAGGGTGCAGTGGTCTGCACAGGGTGCGAGGCACAGGGCACAGAAGGCCGGCCGAGGGGCACAGAGTGCAGGGCACAGGGCGCAGGGCGCAGTGGTCTGCACAGGGCACAAGGTTTCCAGCTGGTGCTGAGCAATCTCGGATGAACAGACCGTCTTCGCCCTCAGTGAACTGCAGTCCAGTCGGGAGAAGTGGGGGGCGAACGGGCAGGTAGAATGTCCGCAGCTGCTTTGCAGGACAAGCTCCTCAGTGCTGCCGTCACCCAGTCTTCCCGGGCCCTCCAATTTGTTTTTTTAGTATTTTTTCTTCATTGATCTTAGAGAGAGAGGAAGGGAGAGGGAGAGAGAGAAACATGGATGAGAGAGAACATCGATGGGCCGCCTCCTGCACGCCGCCCACCGGGGACTTGGCCCACAACCTGGGCATGTGCCCTGACCGGAATCAAACCTATGACCTCCTGGTGGTCAATGCTCAGCCACTGAGCCACACCGGCCGGGCTATTTTGATCAAACTATTCACAGTGTCATCTCAGGAGCCAGGAGACTGACTTCGCTCTTCCTGGACTCAGGCCGGGTGACTCAGGTGTGCACACTTGGGGGTCAGCGGAGTTTCCGGGGAAGGTACAGCACTTGGGACGTACTTACCCTGAGAAGTGACCGGTTGTTTTCCCAATTGAACTGGGGGTTTTACATATTTGTCCGCTGTGCCCGGGCCACCTGCGGTCAGGGGGTCTTCCCGCTCCCGCCCTGCAATGAGAACGAGACCTCTGCGTGCTGCTCCCCCGGGAGGCGCCCCGGCTGGTGAGGGACGTGCTGTCTGACCTGTTAGGGATCCTGTCACGGCCCCGACTCCCTCCTCGGGGTCCCGAGAGCAGGACGAGCTGGAGGCGGTGGGGGGCGCAGGCCTTCTCGAAAGCTGAGCTCGGGCTCCTTGCCGTGGGCTTGTTCTCGGCAAAGCCGAGGCAGGTGGACGGTTCCGATTCCTAGGGACTGGTTATGACGCGGACGCCAGTCTCCCTGCCTGTCGGCGCCTGCCCTCGGGGGGTTCCCTACTTACAAGTCAAGGAGCATTCGGCTCTTCTGGGGTCCCCCATCAGGTGGGGCGTGTTTGGAGATGGGCAGGAGCTGCTCCGTCACCAGCCCGGCGGTCTGGCCAGGGCACAGCCTGGGCTGCTGGAGGGACACCCCGCCCAGCTCGGCTGCACTCGGCCCTGGCCCTCAAGGGGCGAGTTCCCAGAACAGTCCTCAGTCCTGGTTCTACCCACTGACCATTCCTGCATGTTCCGCCAGGACACAGGGCAGCCTCCCTCCCAGCCCATCCCAGCTGTGCTGGACAGACAGACAAACGGAAGCCACCTGGGGCAGCCTCTCTCACAGACCAGAGGCTGGGGTCTCAGGCAGCTCGCGCAGGGGAGGGGGGCCCACGCACAGCCTCTCCCGCAGGCCGTGTGCATGAAGCAGCCCCATGGGCAGGCCTGTGCCCTCGGGACAGAGGGAGAGGCCAGCCCACAGTCGCTCCCAGAAACTGGCCCTGGACTTTGGCCACAAACTTTGGGTCCAAATTTGACCCTGCCTCTTACCTAGCTGTGTGACCTTAGGCAAGTTCTGACCCTGAGTACCCTCAGCTTGCCGATCTCTGGAATGGGTGGAAATGTCCGTTTCAAAGATCCGAGAGGGTTATGGAGGGGGCGCGTCAGATCAGCGGTGGGAGGGCCCGGCTTCTCGGCCGTGGGGGGGCTAGACGGCTGCGGGCCAAGGCACCTGGCGACCCCCACCTGTCCAGACCTGGGCTTCGCATCCTCGGAGCAAGGCGGCCCTTCAGGTCGTGGCCAAGGGCTCATTCGGTGCCACCTGTGCAGGGTTCTGTGTGGCTTGCCAGCTGACTGCAGGGACCTGGACCCCAAGCCTGCGTGTGGTCGGCCCGGTGCCAGGCCTCCCTGACCACCTGAGCAGCTCAGGACCAGCAGCGCAGCTGCTCATCGACTCCTCAGCGGGACAGAGAGAGGCAGCCTCACACCCTGTGCTTCCCATTCAGCCCGACCTCCTGCCCGCTCCCCCTCCGAATGCCGCGCTCCGGATGCGCCAGCCCACGGTCCCCCAGCCTGCTCTCAGAGTCCAGGGCAGGGCAGGGAGGGGCCCCAGGCTCCTCTTCCCCCAGCAGGCCTGGCTCCAGCTCTGTGCCCCAGTGCCAGCCGTGACTCACTGCCGCCCAGCCCTGGGAGGTAGGAGGGTCCCGGGAGGGCCCCGGACTCTCACCCAACAAGAAGAGACAGCGATCACACTTGCCGAGGGACAGAATGTGCTGAGAGGGAAGAGCCAGGGAGCTGGCAGGACGGGCTGCTCCCAGCCCCCCACAAGGTGCAGCTTGCTCCGGGCGTGTTTCCACACATGCTTGCTCGGTCCACTGACACTTCCAATAATTCAACTGCAGCCGAAGCCAGTGGCAGATGCCCGAGTCTGGGGTGTCCCCCGGGGATGGGCCCCCTCTTCAGCTACTACCCTCGGGGTGCCTGCCTCCGGTGGGAAGCTCCTGCCGCCTGGGGGCTGGAGCTCAATGGGAAGAGTTTCCTTTCGAGCTTGTTTCCCTGAATCTCAGAGGCCTGAGGTGCCTCCTCCTGGTGAGGTGTGGGTGAGGCCGGTGCAGAGCCTTCCGTCAGTGCCCCCCTGGTCTCAGGAGTACCGTCAGGGGCTCAGAGCGGCTCCTGGGAGCCCTGACGTCCCTTATCCTATGTCCTTGCTCGGAGAAGTCAGAACATGTCCCCACGTCAGCACCGGGGGTTTCCAGAGGGAGGGGCGCGGTT